GTGGTGATCCGAGTAAAGTAGAGAACTATAGACCGATCTGTTTGACTTCGATATTATCCAAAGTTTTCGAGATTGTGGAAAAGTGTCTGCTGTCATTCTTCGAATCGATGGACGTATTGACGCCAGCGCAACACGGCTTCACGATAGGGCGATCCTGCATCACCAACTTGATGTACGTAAACCACCATTGGGTACGAGATCTCAACGAACGGAAGGATGTTGACGTGTTGTACATCGACTTTAGTAAGACGTTTGACAAATTGAACCACGATGTACTCCTTCGTAAACTGAGGACCTACAGAGTCGGTGGCACGCTACCTCAGTGGTTACACAAGTTTATTGTGGGACAGAAGTTTGGAATATAGGTCAATGACTACCTGACAGACTGGTTCCCATCGACCAGGAAGGATGGGAAGGATGCTATCATGTTGCCTAAGTCTAGACAGTAGAACGAACAAGTTTTTTGGTAATAGGATTTTGTGACTGGGTTGTAGAGTCATTTTTATGGAGTTGGAGGTACTCTCACTCCAACCCCCAAGTTGGAGGTTCTGGAGACTTGGTTTGTCTGGTCTCTAACCTATCTGATGTGATTACCTCTGTACGCGCTTTGGCGCCTTTAGATCGGATCGGTGGGCCGCTCAAACCATCACACCACATTAAACTCCGGTTTCTATTTTGATGCTCCATAGTTGTATGCACCTGATTAACAGGTTTTCGTGTGTCCTTAGATCAGTATGCATCGTGGAGGGGTTCATTTAGATTATGTGTTTAGTTCATGTGGCCTTTCAGCGACACAAGGAAAAGTGACGTCAACGTATTGAATAGTCCCAGAGTATTCAGAAGACCGTATAGACACAGCAGGTCGAACAAGTTTGTCTTCATGTTTTTTCATTTAATGTCCAAGCAAGCTGGTGTAAAGACGAACCGTTTGCCCACTTCCCACAACTGTTTCACTCGCTGGATAGGTTAAAACGACTTGCACCCTTTCCTACTGATATTTGATGTCTATTTCACGACTAATTCTCCCCTCATTCTGTCCCGATGCTACCATTGTGACACCATTTCAGACTATTTATACACAGTAACAGTTCAGTTGATCAACTATGATCCGGGCCCCGAAGTGTGGTGGATCCAGTTGTCACAACTCCCACAACAACAACTAACAACGGCAAGATAATGGCGTTGAATACAAATAGAATGTAAAGGAAATGGAAGTGAGAAGGGAATGCGTTAGACTATTCAGAATGGAACGAAAATTAACAACAAAGTGAAAGAAATTGATGCAGGAACGTCACTGACGTCTTGACTGCGCCATGTATGACACCGTCTCCAACCATTGGAGTGGACAGTCACGAGGCCCCCATCCAGGAGGATGACATTCACTAGCCTGACCAAGTCAGTCAATTTCTTCAAGCTTCTATGCAATGTCATGGAATGGCCACCTCGCTGTTTTGCCCATCTTGATGTGGCCATTGCGTATAATGCACGCCGAGAAACCCGGTCAACGGGCATACGAGGATATGACCTTTGCAACGTAACTGATTAAGGTCCAGTGGGGCACCAGAAGGTTTCTTGCCGAAACGTAACTGGTGAACCTCAGTATTACTCACTCGGTATTCCCACCAGAAGTGTGCAACACTCAGCAGGCAACGGTGGTCAAACATGGTCAAGCGTTTAATGTCCTCGTCGCGAACTGGCGACGTCTCTGATCCGTGCAGTCAGACCGGCCTTACCGCAGCCTTACCTTTCCCCGATAGGCTGTTATCCTGCCGTTTCTATAGTTGCTTGAGTCTCTGGAAAACAACACGGGCCTCGCTGATACGCGAACTAATCTCCTCAGTGATGTGACTACCAGATGTGACACAACTACCAAGGTAAGTGAACCGATCCACCACTTCCAGTGGCTGTTCGGTGATAGTTAGAACCGGAGGTGTGTCGGTCCAGTCCTGCAGCAGTACTTTGCACTTTGAAGGTGCAAAGCACATGCCGAAGCGTGCGGTGCAACGCGTCAGTCTATCCAGCAGTGTTTGCATAACCACTGCATCTGACCTAGTGAGAGCTGTCGCGCACATCCTCTAGATTTATCAGTTGATCACCTGGCAGAACTTCCACTCCGGTATAGTCTGAAATCACCGAGCCCTTCATGATCGTTTCGATAACAAAGTTGAAAAGGAAAGGAGATATGGGACAACCCTGGCGAACCCCACTCAGAAGACAGTCTCTCGTGGATCCGTACACGGCCTCGGGAATCACGGTAGAGAGACTTAAGAATGGAAAGAAAATTAGCCGACACACCTTTCATGGATAGGCAGTACCATAATCTGGCGCGGCATACTGTCGAAGGCCGCTTTCAAGTCAAGGAAAACCACTATTGTCGGTCGTCTATATGTGTGTCTCTGCTCTGACAATTGGCAAAAAGTAATTATGTGGTCGATACAACCACGATCAGAGAGAAAGCCAGCCTGGCCTTCTGTGGACCAGTATGTCGCCGGAGAATGATACTCGTGAAAAGTTTTACTGCAATGGAAACAAAACTGATGGCTCGATGATTTTTGCACAAAGTACGCTAACCCTTCTTGAGTATGAGCACGACAGTTGACAGTCGCTAGTCTGAAGGAACCTCTTCACTGTTCCAAATCGTGTTAAATAGAGTTAAGTCCAGTCAATAATTAGTCACCATGATCTTTCAGCAAAGAATGAGGGAAAGTCGTCGGGTGCGGGAGCACGTCGTATCTTTTCCAAACTAGGAGGTGTGACATCTGCTTTTCACGACGGCTCAGGCGATTCGACCAGCAGCAGTGTCGCAGCAGACCTACTGAACCGCTCTTCAAAATGTTCCGCCCAACGGACTAGTCGACGAAACTGAGAATGGATCAACTGCCCATCTTTCACAGCTATTGTCTCGTCAAAGAATGGCTTTCTCCGACCCGTGTTCCCGATGAGCTGGAACGGAACTCGGCTGTTCCCAAAAGCACTGGCTTTCTCCACTTCACGGGCCTTTGTCATCCACCAACGTTCCCAGTCGATTCGAAGACTCCTTACGATGCGTCGTTTCAGAGAGTTATGGACACGCTGGAACTCAGTGCCCATTGGAACTTGTTTCCGTGCTTCGATCAAGCTGATCGATGCCTCAGAGGTCATTCGCGGTTACGACCTCTGAACTTGGGTGCACAGCATGCGTCAAAGACATCCTTCATAGCGTATTTGAATCGATCCCAGTCAGCGTTCGGTTCACCAACCTCATTCATCACTGACAATTGGTGGGCCATATCATCATGATATTGTTGAAGTGCAGATTGCGAGTCCAAGTTACAGGCAAGAATGTTAGGAGCTAGACGCTTTTTTGAAGCGGGAAGAGTGAGCGCCAAGCGTGCACGCACTAGAGCATGGTCGGCATCCAGGCACGTGCTCCAAATAGACCGACCGTCTTTTGCTGATGTGCGCCATCTGTAGCTGATGGCACTTTGGTCAATTTGGGTCCAACTCATTGAGGGATTCGGTGCGCGCCAGGTGACACGATGTGAGCGTTTGTTCTGGAATGCACTGCTGCTAAGGTAACGGTTGTGGTCGGCGCATAGTTGCAGTAACCGATCACCATTGTCTGTCCGGCATACAACGACTGCGAACTGCCCTCCCAAGTGGTGTCCAGAATCTGATAGACGACCCACTTGAACACTCATTCACCAGCAGTAATCACGATGTCACTATTCTTCTCTATACGAAGCAAACTAGTCGTGACACGAAAGCCCCTTTACTCACGATTTAGGCGCTCTAGGTTAGACATATTTGCAGCTTCCAGTCGGCATTTCTCCCTCATTGACCGCTGACGTGGATTTGAAGTAGTTAGTTCGTTGCTTCTGAGTTCAAGCTACGATAAAGTGATGACATCAAGTTGTGAAGTGGACTGCTTTGAGGTGTCCCATACATTTATACATTCAAGCAAGGTTCTGCGAAATTCGCTGGGTATCTGTTTCCCCACTTATTGTTCCCCAAGTTTGTTTAGATTTTGTATTTTCCTCTTTGCCAGGTTTTGCTAGGTTGTTTACTGACGATCTTTGAATGCATTTTCCAATGCACTTGTTATTCATGCACCTGATGAATGCGAATTGACTCATTGACACGCTCATTGCACCTTGATGGAGCATGATGCAGCTACATGACTAGGTTGACAAGCTCCTGGTTCCTTCAGTCAGCAACTTTTTCTACCTGTCCACCAGAACGTTTACTGCCCGATTCTGGAAGCCAGCGTGTTTATCACATGTTGACTTTTTGTCAATGTGTATGGTTGTCAGCACGTTATAAATCCCAGTAATTACTGCCGCTTGGTGGACAATCTAAACGGCCAACCTTTGACCACCGGCAACTTCGAGTCATCGTTTATATTTGGTCGGAACACTGAGTGCAAAACGTAGGTGTCTTTAGTTAATGATATGCTTACCCTGAATCATCTTTTGGTCTTAAACGTGCTACCTGTACGTGCGGTATGCTGAAAGTGCACGTGGTCATATATATCCCCTTCTTGACTACTCTGCTTTTGGTGATGTTACCTCAGACCTACTCCAGTTTTTACGTTTATCCTTGCGGATCATTATCTTCAGGATTCTTTAGATTCACTTTTTGCGAATCTGCAGACAGCGTGAGCCGGACTCATACTATCATCCGGGAACATCTCCTTTTCCGATAATCACTTTCATTACAACTCAACAGAGCTCCTCAGGCAGTGCTTGTCCAAAGGGTTAGCGATTCGTTGTTTTTTTGTAGTGTCATTCCTAGGTTCCATTATAAGAGTCAAAGCAAGGACGAAACCTGTCGTTAGGATCAATTATTGCTGATCATCCATTTTCTCAGTTTTATTTCATATCTCCCAATAGTCTATCTTTGGTTGCTAAGGTTTTGAACATTTATTCATCGGTCACCGTCCAGCTTTGATTTGCCTCCTCATCTCCGTTTATGTATGGCCATATGTTTTTTCAACATGTTTTTTCCTACCCTTACTTCAGCACGGATTTACTGGATCGGTCGGAGCCCCCTACTCTTCAAGACAGTTATTGTTTATCGGTTGCTTTCTTTAGTCTGATGCACATCGTCAATTCACTTGCGGTGGTGGTCCAAGGCCCGCCGGGATCCGAGTTTTGTGCCACTGACTCTGATGTTCGGGAACAGGCCGTCGTATTATCGTGGTGTGGTCTTCTTCCGGTGTTGTCCTTATTGCTAGAAGCTAGGTAAATATCCTAACTGACACACATACTTACATGTATCTCATTTGAACCCATCGTTCACGATCACCTTCTTCACTATTCTGCGCCGATTCTCGTAGAAACTTGTCATCCATTTTTATTCTAGTGGTCATTCCGTAGCTATGATTATCCCCCTTATTGCAGATTGTGTCTCACGACGTCGAGAAATATGCCATTATCATTATTATTATTATTATTATTATTATTATTATTATTATTATTATTCTTGTGCATACTCGTGTTATACCCATCGCATCATTTGTCATCATTATGCACTTTAGCTAGTAGTGGAAAACACCTCAGCTAGTGTGCCGCAATATATGGGAATAGAAATAACACAACAGAGGCACGCTAGCTGAGCCAACAGTAACAGTCAGACATCTTTCCGGAGGGCTAGCAGCCGGCTATTTGCCGTTAAAAAACTTATGTTGTGTCCGAAATGCGACCGTTTTGAAGGGGGATGCACTAGCAACTTACAACGCAAACGCCGCTGTGGCAAACTTCTACCCATATCAGCAAGTGTATGCAGTCAACTGTGCCCATCTTCTTTCGGCACTAACCATTGGGCCGACAGGCTTCAATCGAGGTCAAATTCGAACTAAAGGCCTTCATTCCCCTTCACCATGTCATCGTTTCACATCATCATCATCAGAATGCTCGTTAGCTAGAGGTGAACACCTCAGCTATTGTGCCGCTTGGCCTTCCCTTCTCTTCTTCCATCCACATTCCCGGCGCTCAAGCAACGCATGACGCAAAGTCCGTGTGCCGGCATGCGCAACAGGTGGGCCAGCCATCTGAGCCTGGCGCGTGAAATAACGCTGCCGGGCGGTTCACTTCCTCTTTGTGTGTCATAAACAAGGCGCCGGACACGCTCACTGCTCATACGGTGTTTCCAACAGATATGAGCTAAACTGCGAAGGCGCTAGTAGTCGAATGTAACTAGCCTCTTTAGGTCTGTCGATCTAATGGGTCAGATTTCTCAATCGTACAGTAGAATCGAACGAACGGCTACATTGTACACCCTACCTTTCAGGGCGAGAGTGATGTAGCGTTGGTGCCACAGGTGGCGGAGATTACAAAAGCGTCTCGAGCTTTTGGTGATCTCATCTTCTATACTACCGGCGCTAATATAGCTGCCCAAATACTTGAATCTCTGGACTTGTAGCTGATCACCACCAAGGGTTAGCGCAGGGGTGGGTCCCTGCTAATCTTAGAGAAGAACTTTGCATTTCGCGGGTGCAAAGCATAGCCCGATACGATTGATGGCCGGAACTAATTTGTCCAGTGCTATTTAACACGTTTGTGAGCTGTCACGGTCGAGAGCAATGTCGTCAGCTTAGTCCTAGTCAAGAAGTCGTTCTCCTGGGAGCAGATCCACACCTTCTAAGTCGTGTCCTGTGAACGCGATTTCCATGATTTCCTCAATAGCGAATTTGAAGAGGAAAGGTGACACGGGCATCTTTGTCTCGCACCGCTGGAGATATTGAAGGGCCGCGACAGCTTGCCGTAAGCGCTCACTCTGCCCGAGCTACGCGCATATTGCGCTCTGATAATATTTTCGGGCACACCTTTCCTTAGCTGACAATCTTAAAGGGCACGTCAATTCACCGAATCGAAGGCACCTTGATGTCTGGGAACGCGACTACGGTGGACCGCCAATATATGTGACAGTGCTCCAACCTCGCGATCAGTTACCACTGTAGAGGCTACGCCCAAAACTGTCGCTCGATTTGGAGCACATGTGTTGACACTGACCACACACTTGTATACGCATCTAGAATTCGATGAATGCTTTCTGATTGTTGTTGTTCCCGTTGAAACGCTCCATCTATCCACCAACATTTTTATCTCACTATTTCTATTCGCTTTCCAACACTCTTGTTTCACGCACTCCTTCCGCATTGATACGTTGTCCCACTGATACTGTTTTACGGCATTGCAGCACGCCTGGTGTGATAGTGTCCTAGGTCCGGTGGCACATTCGAATCACGCTTATTCGGTGACAGAACCACAGAAGCTGCTGGGCTCGCCGAATTTGGATTTGCGGTAATCGCACATGCGGTAGCGGCGTTATTCGACTGGATCTCAATTGCCATCCAATTCCACTAAAGTGGGTGGTATGGTCGTCTAGCCTTGAAGCTGACGGTCGCTATTTTTCGCCTAGGCCATGTATTCTCCCCACTACTTGTAGATGTAACTCCATTAATTTTGCGCCGCATCGTCAAATTGCCAACTGAAGTACGCGCAAAGTGCACATTTCCCTTGTGGGGAATGTTTAAGCTACAACCGTTGGGCCCTACCGCAATGCTGAATCGTGAGGTGTCCACCGACGGACGAGTGTTGAGAGAGTGTGAAGCCGAACTATCATCTCATGTAGGCCTCAAGTCAGACCTGTGCAACTGAAACTATGAGTTGTGCAGAGCAAGCCATACGTGTACATCTGTACGCTCAAAATTTCTATAGCCGTGGTGAAACCGAATTTAGGAAGCCAGTGTTATCACAAGTGAAGAGTGTACTGTGAGCAAGAAACCTGGTGGAGAATGAATATATGTACAGTCAAATCCGCATCGTTACTCAAGGACATGGGTAGGTAACTCAGAGATTACAAGTCGCCGGTAAGTTTCTGAAATACTTATACACAGGAAAATGCACAAAAGTGATAATTAGTTGTAAGGTGGCAGGAAGCTTCTTAACCTTTTAAAATATTTCGAATGCAGCGTAGCCAATAAGGGCGGTGAAATGATTGGATTAGCCGAATAATGCAAACCAAAAAGGACCCAACTTGCAGGGCCTGAGGAGAATAATGGTCTGCAGGATGTGCAAAACGCTCGGCGGGTAGACAACACTTCGAGTTTTAACGGCTAAAGCAAGACGTCCGTTGTAGGCACATCGACAGAGAGCGAAAATCGTGCAGCATGTCCATAGTTGACTGCGGGTTTCGGCCATGCGATAGCTTTTTCAGTCAAATGCCCTTGCACTCCTGGGTCCCAAAGAGGGCTCTTGAGAGCGCCCGGACACAACTGTGAGATTTATGCCTTGAAGCTTATAACCTTAATCGCGTGTTAGCCGTCGATTCCAGCCGATGCGTGATCGCAGAATAGGCCTGATGAGGCAGTCGTTGAGCGAACACTCAAACCATGTAGCCAAGTCACCGACGCCTTCGCGGTGAAGTTGTGCAGTGCAGTGGCAAGCAAAGTCGGTCCGAACTAAAAGTTCATTGGCGAACGCCATCATTGATGTTGCTACGCTGCCATTGTGCGACGCCAATGCTCACATTCTTTCATTTTGCACACCAGATAGAGGCGCAAAATGTCAATTATTCTGCGGCAATACAATTCAACTAGATGGCAGTTAAAAAAGACAGAAGCGAAACAAAAATATTAAGCTTTTGGGAATTAGGTCTTGCTTGCCCGAAAACATTCCACTCCACCTCGCGTTTCAATCCTGTTTGATTTCATCAGGTAGAGGTAGCAAACCACAAACTCGGTACCATTGGGATGTTAGTTGGAACCCCTACCCCTTTAGTCACCAAATCACGACGGGCGACACTTGGCACAACGGTTAATGACTTTTTGGAGCGTCCTTTTTGAGGTCCTCGTTGTGTGCTTGGATTGCGGCGTGCAATTTGAATGTGGAGCGTGATTCGCATTGAAGCCAATTCGATCACTAGGGCCGTAGCTGAAGCATTTAAGCTCAAACAACGTTGAAACGCGTTGTGAACTGCATTGTTTTCGGGCCGGCAACACCCTATTCTTATAGACATCAGCTGCGGTCCTAGTGATCGGATTGGCGATGGTTCACTTCAATGCGAATCACGGTCCATGTTGATATTGCGCGTCGCAGTACAATTACACAACAAGTATCACAAAATGACCCTACAATCAATGAATAAGCTTTGTTTTAGCTTATTCACTGATGATGAGATCGGGGTTGGAGGGCAAGACTAAACATGATGGTGCCTGATAAAGAAACTCGTAATATAGCCGCCATTTAGGTAAGATCTCCGCAATGTCAACAAGTGTTTTCAACCGAACCTTTTCACGACCTTTCGGACTTCGACCAGGAAGTCGCTAAGCTTCAACCGAGACCAGCTTCGAAGTCGAGCCCTCCATTTCTTTAAACCAAGTTCTCGGCTGGCCTCCCCTCGTTTCCTTCCATTCCGATCGCGCAAACAGCGTGCACGCAAATGTGAAATAAGACATGTTCTTCGCATGCCTGGAACCCGGCTTATTCCTCTTGTGCTTTTTGCCAATAATCCGCCTACTTGAGTGAAATCTCGAGGTGGGCAATCAATGATATGGCGAGAAGAGCATGGCTTGGGTTGGTGTTGGTCGCCTCCTGCCACATCAGCGGTTAGATGCCCTATCGGATATCTCGCAGTCATGAAGTTGATGGCACTCTTGTACTCTCCCTTTTATTTCATCTCGCGATTTTATTTCCTGTCCAATCTCCTTTGACTATTATTATTATTTTGGTATTATTTGACTTGTACGGTTATTACTTTATGGGACGATTCACATGCCACCGCATTCTACCGGATCTAAATTTTGTCATATTCGTATCTTATTGGCTGGGTTGAGGTGGACGATAGCAAACCACAGCATGAGTCGTCGAGAACAACTCCTTGTGTTCGTGCTCTACTTCACTTAACTTACGGAAACAATCCTTAACTGCTTTCTCCCATATCCTGTTGCTGATCGATGGGGATCATCAACCTCTGTCCATATTGCTGGGATTGAGCTTATCTGGCTTTCCATATTGGGTCTTTCTGGGAAGTAGTGTCGCTTTTCATTTAAGAGGTTTCACCCAGCCTAGAAATCAGTGGGTCCTGAGGACACGCGAAACATCGCGCCATCTGACGGTTCACATTGTTAGCCGTCACTGCCGTTTAACAAAATCCGTGCATTGTTGCTTGTTGGTCGAGTACATTTGGAGCACCAATGATACAAATCAGGATGATTTAATACGTTATGGTTCATCCCATGGACGCTAGTCGTGGCAACCGGATCAACCACACTTCCCTAACCAGCCTGTGGTTGTCTAAATGAAACTGCCTGGACTGGACCGGTTCCCACACAAATGTCAACGGTTGCTAAGCTATTAAGAAAACTGTCCTACCGTTCTTGGACTGCTTCATTCATTGAGTTATTGCATTGCAATTGTTTCACCACCAGTTATGAGATACACTTGGTGCTCTGGCTACGGTTGATGACCATACACCTGCACTCCATTTGCTGCTATCTTGCACTTTGTATTTCTGATTTCCTATATATCATTACCAGTATTTTGCAACTCTCCACACGCTACTTGTTTTTTGGAGGACACAGAGTAACTCGCAAACTGCTGACTGCGTTTGCTTGTACCTAATTCCTAGTTGTTTTTTCAAGTGAATTCAGCCATCCATTTATCAAGTGATTTTTCTCCTTGGCATTTATATGGGCTGTGGAGTGCGGTTAACCTTTACTTATCCTTTTCGTAGCACTCTTCGATCCCGCTTGTTTTTTGTCATTTTTGCTTATATTGTCTTCCTCCCCCTCTGTCTCCTGTCTATTCAGTGCAGATGAGCAAATCACTTGCGACATTTTGCAAGCTATACACACCATGGTTGGCCTTTGCGGCGGATTGCGCATCGAAGTGGCACGCGATGCGTTTGTCACTGTTTTGTGCAAATCGGCTCTACCGAGTTCATCGTCCACAAAATTTCCTCTGTTTAGCGCACAAACGAAAGGTATTCATCGCTTTCCATTCGCTCATCCAACCATTTTGCGCTTACAATTGTCTTGTGTTTTTACATCAGCTGTCGGTTAGTACCATTGTGCAATCCTACATCAAGTAGCGATAGCAAAGCAACTAACAAGCTGTATCGCTAGGTCATTTTCCCTATTCTAAACACGATTTGAATCATTCAAACTCATTGTGTGTTGCACCATCATATATAGCCACTTATGTAAAACAGATAGAATTGCTTTGGAAAACGTCCAGTGCGCATTTACCAAAATGCTCATGTGGCGCTCATCATCACTTACCTATCAGGAGCAATGTTTTCACCTCCAATTCGATCCACTGTGGCTTCGAGGGCTGAAAATCAATATCACTCTTCTCTACAGCATAATATTCTCGCGAGTTTGCTCAACCAGTACGACCGTCGCATTACATAAGGACCCAACCTATCACACCCGTAATGGGATCTATCTGCTATCCTTACAGAGGACCAAGAAAAATATCCGCTTAAAATTCTTCTTGGTCAGGTACACCCATCTGTGGAATAAACTAATGTTACTATTTAGGACCTGCGAGAGCCTGCCGACTTTTAAATTAATTTAAAAATTTTCTTTCTATGCCAAATGTGGTCAAACTTTTCGACATTCAACAATCCACGAGCGCGCTTATGGAATCGGACCCGAACAACATCTGACAATAGTAACTATCAAATAATGTTACTTATTACATACGCAACAAAACATCGCATAACTGTTACATAAAGAATACAGTTCGTAAATGGAATGATGACTAAACCCGCTGTACAAATGATCGTTCCACGAAGGGAAGCGTATCCCGCTTGTCGGGTAATATACCCATTTATTTTTTTTATTATCTACCTGCGGAGTTTAAAGACGCCTCATTCTTTGTGAAACTCGGATACTCTGAATTTGTTACGCTAGCGATTTGTATTCTTTGCTCCCACGCTCACCACCACACCGTGCAATACGCTACCCTCATTGTCATTGTTACTACTGCTATTAAGCTGAGCCTACGAAATTCTATGCGCTGGTTGGTAGTCGTTGTAACACTTTGTCTTCACAATCTAAATTCCGTCTCTACTCACCCTTCATAATTTTGACCCAAACTGTCATTCGTTATTCACGTTAGCTAGAGGTGGCAAACATATCACCTACTGTGTCGGAAAGCATGCACTCTGTTTCGAATGGAAATGCTGCGGTTAACGAACCATTCACTACTATCATGTTACGTATTCTATTAGCTGTTCTAGCACCTACAATCTCTTCCATGAATGACATAAGGTGATAGCCACCACTTTCTCCTGAACGTCTCCTGTTTTCCCTTGGATAGTTAGCGCACATAACTCTCCGGCGGTACACTATGCTCGGACCTATTTCATTGGTCTCTTTCTCACCGCATCTAGGCTATATCTACCCTTATTTCTTATTGTCGTTATTAGTATGCTTACCCGACCTATGCGATTACAGTGGATACTGTGTTGGCAACATTCAACCTACTATATGGCGTTAGTCGTTTACCGAACGCAGCCTTTATGTTTATACTATAGCCAGTACTAATTATTCTCTCTTCGTAGGTTATTGTGGTTCTACAGCATCGAACCATCACTTTAGATGGCTACTGTACTGTTTACCTTGTTACTATTTCTTCTGTTGTTTGGCTAAACCGAACCTCATCGCTTTCTGTAGGGCCTGGAGTTTATGTGTCATACTGTCGGTCACTAGTAAGCCCAGATCAATCGCTTATGATCACATTTTTTGCTGACTGTGGTGTTAGCTGTTCATTTTGGCCAACAGAATCAGTGCGATCCAGTAAGGGGACCGTTCATGACCGATTGATCACTACTGGTTCAGCAGCAACCCTTTCACGTATGAGTAATTATCTTTCTGTAAAGCTGCATGATAAAGCAACTCGATTGGTAGATATGTTGTGCTTTCCACCAGAGACACAGAAACCAGTTCTTAGTCGCTCGACAGAGCGTGGTGGCCCATTTAACTAGCGTGTTGTCTTAGCAGTGAATAGTTCTGTGATCGCGGCTCAAGCTTTTTCCTTCATACCCGTTATACCATTCGACGCTAGCCCTTTGCCCTTACCTGGTTGCCTAGGCATGCTACTCAATTTTGAATACTCATCCGCTGCGGCATGAAGTAGATCGCTGCGCCAAACTGCTTTCTGTATAGGATATCACTCGGAAACCGGGGTTCGACCCCATATTCGATTGTCTGCGCTGTACTAAGCCACACCAGAATGAGACCCATTTTGAAATACGGTTTTTGAGCAACCAGCGTAGAAGTATCCTCCCCTTCGCTTTGCTTCACTGAGTATGAAAGCTCTCAGCTGTCTCACTCCAGCTTACTCAGGCTAACTCAGTCTAGTAAGTATTGCCACTGTGCCATGTTTAAACGAATTGTCCATGTGGGCAATTATTACAGCTGTTACACAACCTGTTTTTTTACGAAGGACACTATGATCTAAGCCACAACTGACGGGTATTTATCCAACGCCATAACAAGTTCTCTTCGGACTCCCAACAAATAGCGTGGGTCTTTTGGGGAATGCCCATCGAAACCTAACTCAGCCAGACAACCGCGTTTCGACCATTTCGTACTCCTCGGTAACGCGCATCACCCGGAAACGTCAGATTCCAACCCATGACCTTACTCTCACGAGCCAGCACCTTAAGCCACTGAGCCATGACTACTTGCTGACTGCGATACAGCACGGATCATCCTTCACTATCATATGGGTTATGTACGTGCAAGAAGCACCCAACCAGCCTTCATGCCACTTTCCTTGGTGCTGTGTTGCTAGAGCTATAGCTCTGGGGGATAACCGTGTCTTCTGAAAGTCCATAACGTGCGTCATGTTGGTGGATGAGCTGCGCCACATTGCATTTAAAACTCAGTCATTGCAGTCATCCGCCGTCATCTCTGGCTCACAAGAATGAGCTCGTGTGTTCGGATCCTGGTAGTATCTTGCGGATGAGTCATAATCAAACAGAACTACCGTCTGTCGCTTTCCCGTATGCATGCGCTGCTTGTCTGACTAGATGTTTCTTCTACGCAGACCCTCACTACCACTCTTTAACGTGGGTGCTTATCTGCGTATCGCTCCTATTCGTTCGAGGTCTCCTTTTGCTATCCACCGAGTGGATTGGGCTGAAAAGGGACAAAGGAACTCACAGCACAAACGGCATTGTGGTAGGCTCTTCGTCTCTGTCAACTCATGTATCCAATCAAGCCTGTTCATCGTCTTTCGGACCCCAACCCGGCAGTCGAGTGGCTCCAGCCGAGATCAACTTCGAACTTAGGTCCTTCATTCCTCTTGACTAAATTATCGATTGACCTCCTTTCCTCTTCTTCGACCCGCACCTCCGTCGCGCGAGTGAGGCATACCGCGGCAGTCGGTATGCTGGCGTACGAAACACGTGTCCAGCCATTCGAGCCTCGTACGTTACATAATGGTACCGAGTAGTTCACTTCCTCTTCCTGCGCAACAAACGAAAAACCCAACAAGCTTATGGACACACGGAGTTCCGACCAGATATAGGTGCACTGTGAACGCAAACTGGTCGAACATCTGTCGATCTAATAGATCAAGTTTCCCAACTGTGCAGAATGGTTGAACTGATGATTGCGTTGTCAACTCTTCTCTTTAGGCCAAAAGTTAGATCCCGCCGACATCACAAGTGTCGAATTTGAGCAGAAACCTCTCTATCTTTTGTTATACAATTCGTGGGCTCATCTTCTATTACAGACACTGATACAGCTGTCAAGTAATTGAATTTTTGGGCATCTTTTAGTTGCTCTCCACGTAGGGCCAGTTCATGCCTTAAGACTGCTAATCCTCGGAGGCTTTTGCATTTTGAGGGTGCAAGAACTCAAGGAAGAATGTCATCAGCAGTACGCCGGCATGCAGTACCAACGGTTCGCTGCCGCACAGACACGACCAGTCGCACGTGGACTAAGGATACTGCGAGGGTCGCTGAGTGCCTATGTAGGCTCGAACGCGCACCCTCAGATTACAAGTCAAGCTTGTGATCCTCAAGGCAAAGCACAACCCGAAACAGCTGACAGTCAGTGCTCATCTGTTCAGTTCTGATTGACACGTTTGTGAGCTGTAACAGCTTATTGCAATGTTGTTGGCATACTCTAAGTCACCTGGAAGCAGCTTCACACCCTCTAATTCTTGTCCAGTGAACCCATGTCCATAATAACTTCCTCGGTAGCGAAGTTGCAGAGGAAAGATGATAATGGGCATCCCAGTTCCACACCACTGGAGAGTTTGAAGGTCGGCGACAGTTTATCCTAACGTCTCACTCTGCTCAAACAACACATGTAAGCGCCCTCATAATATTTGCTAATCCCTCTGGCATACCTGTATCAATCAAATAGTCCTAAAAGACGTCGATGCATCAAATTGTAGGCACGACATGATGGATCGCGGTACTCCGCCAGTTAACGTAGGGGGAATATGATTAATACAGTCCGATTTCGACGAAACACGGCTTGCTCCTCGTGAGTTTGGCTTTCACGGACACCAGTCAATCTGTGAAGATCGGGAAAGTAACTTGAAAGCATTGAAATCAGACTTATCCCTCTACGATTGCTGTATTCCGAATGCGAACCCATGGACGATCAGGACGATAACAGAGGAGCTCTAGTCGGTTGGGACGATTTTCTACTTCCACAGTTTCACTAATCATTCAGGCAAGTCTTTTATAAAAGCACGTCGCCAGAATTTTAATAGGACTAGGGTAAGTCCATCTTGTCCTGCGCACTTAAAAAATCTTAGTAGCCTATCTTACTTTCGACTACTGTGTGAGATACTGTATCAAGAGACCAGGGTGACCACTGTCTAGCAGCGAACCTGGTAGTCTGACTGATTAAACTGCTTCCCTTAACGTCCACCCCAACGCTCCATTCGTGGTGGTGGATAAACTTTAAGTTTCATCGCATCTAGTCTCACCAACACCAGGTCTCATGCCGCCCGTTCCTCGTATAAGACGGAGTAACTTCCGATCGTTACCAAAAGCTGGAATCTTGTGTCTATGAAAACAAAGCAACTCATCATAATTGATTGAGAGTTCATCGCACCAGCTTCCAAATCAGATAGCCCTTGAAATGTCCGGAAAAGCATTGGACTGCGCTTTCAACCTGTTGAGCATCATCATTAGTGCGTATCCATCGGATCCATCAGGATTCGAAGCCGGTGCGAGGAACTCTCGATTAATCACCTCACAATCCCCTACTCATTAGTAAGCCAATAAACTTGATAGTCTCCTGACAAACTTTACATGAACTACGCATCACATATGGTAGTTGTACGTTTCAGCATCGTCAGTACGCAGCCACAACTCACCTCCACTGCTCAGATCTTTTGCCTGGTCGAACCAGCACCCTTTAAAACTTTGTCCCCTCTTCGTTCACTTTCTTGAAAGCTGGTACTCATCGTGTTGTCTCTCCCTTTGAAGAAATTTTCTTGTTGATTGTAGCCGTTGTATATACCACAATAATAAGTCCCATTAGACGCATGCTAACTTGATCAAGATCAGCATTCACCGTGCTCCAATCATGAAACCACAAAGACCCCTCTGAATATGTGATGGCTATTCGTGTCTCATCTCAACGAGTCGCTTCGCTACCAATAAAATCGTTTTGTTTTAGTGACCGTTATACAAGGGCAGTATCATACCACTACCTGGCAAAGTTCTCTTTGCAAATTCTACACAAACCTTTATCGTCTTGATAGCGGACACTACACCCATCTCCGTAATCTAGAGCATTTTTCTTGTTTGCGGCACTATCCCCATTTGTTGATGAAGTGCACGGGTGTGGTGTACTCCGTCTAAACCGGCCCTTTGTTATCTACTGATCGTTTGTGCTCATGGGTGTCGCAGCTGCATTCGTTTTGTTCTCCTTTTCGTTTAAATTGCTTCTTTAATGTGTTCATCGCTTCCATTCATTCTTTTCTGTTGGGTTCAATGCTGCGGGGCCTCAGCAAATCTCCATGCGGCGCCACCATCACCTCACGATGACGTATTCGAGCGGAGCCCCGTCGTTATAGCCGTTACCCTGGGTGCTGGCCACAGCGTTAACGTGACAACCAAGGTTGGATCTAGTTCACTTGGGGCTTCGCAAGCCCCTGGTGCCTCTACTCCAGCGTCATCGAGTTCAAACTCCGAATCGGTCCTTTCTGCATCGGGAGGCTCTCTGCTGCTCACAGCCAAACACCTCCAATCTTCCCGTGCTGTTCTACATGCCGCTATGGTCCATGGAAACGTACTCGGTGGCTCTTGGGACATCATCCTAGGCACATTACAGGTCGACACCAAGCCGTTCTTTTGTAATGGATGCATTGCATTTCGGGTTTTCTTTCGTTCCGTCATACTAGAGCTCCATCGATTTCTTGTGATCCTGATATTTTCTTCTCCTAAAGCAAGCATGTTGATGTCACCTCAAACTTTGCGGCGGTTCTCTTCACTTGTTTTTATTTATTTCTGAAGGATTCGTCTTCACAAGCTATGCAGGACATTCTCTGTGTGCCCATGTACATTTCCGTATTAAGCTTCTGGTATTGTGCGTTGTGTGCTCGTGTCTGAGTGTATGAGTTTGCTTGGTGCACTCACTCATTCTCCGCATCTTCTCCTGTCAGCCTTCCATGCTTAATGTTGTTTGCTTGTCTTTTACTATTTGCACCTAAGCGCGCCACTCAATCTCTTTTGACCTTTTCATTATTTCAAGAATCTCGCCTGGATGCTCGACTTGAAGATTGATTCTCGTGCAAAGCTATTCTTCAAGCCTCCTCCGGTGCTGGAAGGAGGTAGCTGCAAGACTGCAGATGCCACCCCGTACATGCCCTGTGAGCCCTCAAGCACCTCACGTCCTGGGATCTCTGCTCACTCCCCTTCTGTGGCACAGAATCTCTCTGACCTTTCATCGATGATGTCTACCCTGTTTTTGCAATCCAGGTGACTTGGTTACTTGATGTTTCTTCTTGTTTACCCTTGTCTACATGCTGACACCTGCGCTTTGCACTTAAGGGCCGGTGTGATTCACATCTTTCGTGTCGCTAGTGTCTACTGTTAAGCAACCGCCGATGATGAAGCAAGCCTTCCAGTTGTCTGAGCCCGAACATTAGTTGCCATGTACTATGCTGACATCCCTTACATTTGGTGTATAGCCATTCTGAACATCTTTAATTTACTTTCCTACCCAGTCACCGGAACATGGGATAATTTTGTTTAAACATGTCTTAAACCGTCTACTCCTCCATGTTTAGCTCCTTCTTTGAGCGCCTTGGTAATCATGGAATGCGTTAGCGATCGTTCGGTTCTCATGCGTTCTTCTACTAGACACAATTCATGTCCTAAACATTGCGCACTGCTCTTAACTCATAAATGAGACGTTCTGACGCCCGAACGCGATATCATATAGTCATTCGAACCGTGCAGCTGATTGCAACAAGTTGTCTCTGGTGGCTTCAGTTTAAGTGAGTTGAATGCGCATTGCGAAAGAGTACCTGATACAGCGGTGGTTTTACGAGGAGTGTTTAAAAAGAAACCGAACTTTTCCTATAGCATCTTTGTTGCTTATTCTACAACCTTTAACGCACTTTCCCTCTCAAAGTAGTCCCTTTTACTGGCAACACACCGTTCCCAATGGTGCTTCCAGTTTTTGGAAAGCCTCCTGGAACGCACTTTCTGGAATGGCGCACGGATCTCTTGTCGCATTGTCCTTAATCTCCTCTATGGTTTGAAACGACATACTTTCAACGTGATTTTAAGTTTAGGAACCAGGGAAATGTCTGCAGGGGCTATGTCCGGAGACAATGGTGGGTGTGGTACAACGGGAGTGTGATGTTTTGCTACGTAGCTGCACACCAGAAGCGGTACGTGAGCTGGCGCATTGTCATGATGCAACATCCAAGCCTGGTTTTCCCACAGTTCATGCCTCTACCTGCGCTCAGCATCCCTCAAACGCGCTAGAGTTTGCTGGCTTGATCCTACGCTGATGCCCACTACTACAGCAAGTTCCCGAACAGTTAAACGCTGATTTCCGCAGATAACAGCACGAACTCTGTCTACATGGTGATCGTCTGTTGAGGTGCAAGGTCGTCCAGGCTTGAATCGTCACCGACCGACATTCTTCCCTGTTCAAAACAGTTAAACCACATATAATACTGCATGCGACTCATACAGTCCTTCCTGATTGCTTGGCTAAGTAATTGAAATGTCTCTATAAAACGTTTCGGTGCGTTTGTAGCAAAATTTCGCACACACACCCGTTGTTCTTCAAGCTCTTTCACTGTCTCTTTGACACTAATTTAACAGCCTGTTCGCATCGCACTTCATCGGCTGTAGCTTTCCAACTAACCTTCAGAGTGAAATGCGGCAAATGGCAGCTTGTTGTCTAGACAAGCTACTACATGTACTTAGTAGTCGCAGCGCTCTCCCTCTGCCGAGTGGCGCGCTATTTCAGAAGTCCGGTTTCTTTTTGAACACCCCTCGCACATACCATTGGTCACCTGGACTATCACCAACGTGGGGCAATGAACTGATCGACACTTGCTTTGTTTCGCGATATTCAACAGTGCGCATTCCTTCTAATCGATGATGAGTCCGTTTCCAAGAGTGGAAACCACCCAATAATTAGTGACTACCTGACGGACCTCAGCCTTGGTGCATTCCGTCTAATGGTTTAATACTTGTCCTCTAATTAATCCGAAGTTTGCACCACAATCGCTCCTCCTTAATGCGTGTATGATTTGCGCTTACGGTGACACATACTATCAACTTTTTAACAGTATTGATGCATCAACTGTTCTGTTCCCTTAGCTAACAGATTATTGTAATACAGTTTTATGCCTGCATATTTGAACAACTCTCCGCCATCTTTCTGATAGTCTGCAAATCTCAGAAGCTCGATATTTTGTCTCCAAGTAGGGTAGAGCTTTGGAGCACTTATCGGTCCTTCATTTTTTGTTAGAATGAATGCAGCTTGTCTTGACAGCAAGTAGTACCGGTCTCTTTAACTGCACTACCATTTTGACGGCAAGTGATTTATGCCACGAATCCCCTATGCAATTATCCAATTTTTGCGCAGCTGCGTAATGTCTAACTTGGTGTTGTGTAGTCCGTATAGTTCCATCTTCAGGACAACTTTTCCCGCAGAACTCACGGCTTGTGTGACTATGCAGTTCATTCGGTATACCAAAATTTAATCAACGAAACAAGGTTCATCCGCACACCGATTTGCGTTACGAAACTAACTTACAAGTCAACATAATAGTGTGCCTCCTCTCGATCCATATCTGCTGCTTATCGGAGACCCGCCTGCAAGATTCGAGCTCTGTGCTCACTCTGCGATCCCTTTCAGGTGACACCAGCATCACTTTTTCATCGCGCCTATCCGGTGACGATGCAGCTTTGAGCACCGGCCAAGCCGGTGTTGGTATTGCCCTGAGTCCCCGGGCTGAAGCTACTCTGGTTGATTGGATTCCAATCAGTAGCCGGATGTGTGCGGTCCGATTGGCTGGCTCGTTCAAAGCTTCGAAGTCGCGTGTGAGTAGCAGGTGTCTATTCGTCATCGCTGCCTATGCGCCCACAAACTCTAGCGATGATTCGGTAAAAGACGACTTCTATCGCCAATTGAACGAGCTGCTTCGCCACAGAAGAAGCTCGGACACTGTTGTGCTGGCTAGGGATCTGAACGCTCCATTTGTGAAATTTATCCACTGATGAACTGGATCTGGGCGGTCGACATGGTCTAGGCTCCCGTAATGATAACGGTGAGCGGTTACTTCATTTGTGTGAGGATGCTCGCTTATTTCTTGCGAGCACTAATTTCAGACACAGCACCCGTCGGAGGGTGACTTGTCGTCCACCAACTATGGAGGCAAATCGATCACATCGCGATAAGTTACCGATAGGGAGGCTGCGTTCAGAACTGTCGCTCGATTTGGAGCACATATGTGGACACTGACCATGCACTTGTGTGTGATGACCTGCGGATGCGTTTTGGCGGACGCCCAAGACGACATTGTGAGCGCATCGACACCAGCCAACTGGCGAAACCAGCTGTTCTGAATGCCTATCAAAGTACACTGTCATGTGAGTTGAGTAAGCGCTCAATGGATGCAGTTGAAGCTCACTGGTCTCATATTCACCAGTCCTTACTAGCAGCAGACGAATCCTCATGTGGTAAGTCTGATCGCCAACATGGACATTAGGTCTCTTCGCAGTCTCTGGAACTTATCGATGATCGCCGGCATATTCCGGCTGGAAGCGAACACAATGAAATTCGCAAAGAACTCCGGGCAAAACTTCACGCTAGCCTGAAGAGAAACTGCGAATCCTGGTGGTCTCATCGTGCATTATAGATGGAAATGGCCGCTGTCCTTGGTAACCACCGTAAGTTATTCCGGCTGATATGGGAAACGGTGAAACTATACGTGACGAGAGTAGACAGCCTATCCACAAATCGTCAGAACTCTGGGAGCGTTGGGTTGAGCACTTTGAATGGCAATTTAATCGGTCGGAATTGTTAGCTTTCTCGCCGGCCACTGACCGCCCCGCTTCCTGGGCTGTCCCACCCTCTCGCTTGCACTGTTGAAATTAAATAAAGCCGCGGGCCAGATGATCTTCCTCCAGCCATCTTCGAATTCGGGGGACCTGCTCTTGTGGATGATTTACACGAGTTACTAGTCCAACTGTGGGAGCAGGAGACTGCCCCAACCGACTGGTGCCGCCCCGTATTATTCCAAATTTTCAAGGGGGTCTCACGATCTGAATGCGGCAACCATGGACGAATCAGTCTCATCTCCATCGGCTCCAAAGTGCTTGCCTCTGTCATCCTTCACAAACTGATTGCCACCCGAGACACCCATATTCATGAAGAGCAAGGCGGGTTTCGTCGGGGTCGTGGCTGCATTGACCACATCTTCACCTTGCGTCAGTTGTTGGAGCACCGTCACATATATTGGCGGCCCACCGTTGTCCTGTTCCTCGATATCAAAGATGCATTCGATTCGGTGGATCGACGTGCACTTTGGGACCGTCTACTCAGAAAAGGTGTACCTGAGAAATGTGTAAATAATATGCGATCACTATACACGCGTAGCTCGGGCAGAGTGAGGGCTAACGGCAAGCTGTCGTGGCCCCTCAATATCTCCAGCGGTGTGAGACAAGGATGCCCGCTGTCACCTTTCCTCATCAACTTCGCTTTGACAAAGTCATAGAAATCGCGTTCACAGGACACGACTTAGAAGGTGTGGATCTGCTCCCAGGAGAACCTCTTGACTTAGAATTTGCTGACGATATTGCACTAATCTGTGACAGCACCCAGACGTGCTTAGCAGCACTGGACAGATTAGCACTGGCTGTCAGCCGGTTTGGGCTTTGCTTCGCCCCCTCGAAGTGCAAAGCGTTGCTCCAAGTTTGGTCTGGAGCACTTTCTTCGATGATCCTTGGTGGGATCAGCTAGAAGTCATTCAAAAATTCAACTACCTGGGAAGTTGTATCAGCGCCCATGGGATTGAAGATGAGATCACGAACCGTATAGCAAAAGCTCTGGGCGCTTTTGCTAACCTTCGTCACTTATGGCGCCGTCGCGACATCACTCTCGCTCTGAAGGGTAGAGTATACAATGCAGCGGTACGTTCGACCTACTGTACGGTATTGAAACCTCTCCGCTTAGCTCAGCGGACATAAAGAGGCTAGTGACGTTCGATTATTGATGCCTTCGCACTTTGGCTCACATGTGGTTGGAACACCGAGTGAGCAACAACCGTGTTCGACACCCTGTTTACGGTTCAGGAAATGGAAATGAAACGCTCAGCACTATGGTTTCACGCACCAGGCTCCGATGGTTCGGCCACATATTACGCATGTCAGTTCACCGGCTCCCGCGACGTGCGTTGTTTTGCGCGCCGGGGGTGTGGATAGAAGAAGAGGAGAGGTGGCTAAGCGATGACTTGGTCGAGAGGAATGAAAGCCCTCACTTCGATTCTGGTCTCTGTTGGAGCGTCTCGGCTCCCTGGTTGGGGTCCGAAAGACGATGAACACGTTTGGCTGGATACGCTTGCTGACATGGCTGGGGGCCGACCTCAGTGGCCTTCCTGTTTTCAGTTACTTTGTCCGTCCCCCTCCATTTTAGCCTCCCCCTCCAACCACGATCTCTTTCTTTAGCATTTTATAATTTTGCATAGTAGAGTATATTTTTTCTGCTGCACAGTAGCCGGCTTGTAGCTTACCGGAATGATGCCCATTCGTTACCGGTAGTTCAAGTGGTTTGCACCTGTTGTATCTATTTTCTTCTTTCTTTTAGGTATTGCGGCACAGTAGCTGAGGTGTTTCCCACCTCTAGCTAACGTGTGTAGTGTGTGTGTGTGTGTGAGTAGTATGCCCTGCGCACCCATGCATGTTAAACACTCCGCGGATGGAACGTTATGATAAAAGCTGACTGCAAATGACTTATAGAAGTAACTTTAAAAATGTTACTCACTAAAAGCAATAATGTGTATTAGAGCGCCACCGATTTAGCCACTGGAGCATGCCAAATGTGGACTGCAGTTGGGAATAGATGTAATCCCTTGGCTCCTATCTATTCCGTCAGCGCCTATCAACTTGAGTGCATGCCTTATTTCCAGTTCTTCGACCTGGAAACTCAAAACCACCCTCACTAACTGCCACCGTGGCTGAGAATGCAAGCCGTCGTACCTGGTCGTCAGGTCTGCGATCAGCATGTTGAATCCGCCGCGCGCCGCGCAAATTCGGTGTTCTGTTTCAGAGGCCCTGTTATCAGACACCAATATCCAGCATCTGGTTCTTTATTCCACTTATTCTTCTTTATCACGCAGCCGTCAACGACCAACTTGACCACATTCCTAATATCATCGGCACGCAACAACTCTGATCTGTAGAGCAATACTAGCCTCATTGATACGCCTCATTCACCACTTTTACCCTCTGGTCTCGTGTATCACACTGCTCCCAACAGATGGCTTAGATTTGGTGACCCGCACCACCTTCTCCATAGTTCACAGTGACATCATGGGTGCTTTGTTCACCCGATGTTGTTCAATCGTTTATATTGAGAACTATTGGTGCATGGGTTCATGCATACAGCATGCTACATCGTTATACTTGGGGGCATTGGTGTAGCGACTTGGTTCGACACTAGAGATCTGTACTGTTTGTGTACGCAGTTTGTCAATCGGTTACTTTCGCTTAATCATCTCTTATCCACTCATCGAAATACAGTGGACTCAGCTACCTAGACTCCTGTCACGGTAATAATAATAATAATAATCCAAAAGCAAAGGACATATAAATAGTTTAGGGTGACGAACATGGGAGCAAGTAAAATGGCGACGCTGACTCCATGGCTTCATTATATCCTATTTGTTATGGGAGGCCTGATGTGTGCAACCTTGTCATTGCACGTCCTAGTTGTTTCCACTCCTAGTCGAAACGGATGAAACGCTACCTAACGAAAGTACTTCATGCGCATATTAGACCATTCATTTCGTATCGGTACGACCTAAGTGACTTAGCCGCTGAATGTTGTACACATGAGCTGAGACTGGAGACGAAACATGTGATCTCGCACGACTGCACCGTACTCCAGAAATGCAAAACTGCCCGATAGTAAGAATTTGTTCACTAGTCCAGCCAAAGGCAAATCATCTCTTCAACATCTTCGTATTTATGGCTCAATAGTACTGCAACGAAAAGAAGGTGGCTGGTGACAATGCACATGAGTTGCCACGTAGCTGTAGTGTCCTGAGGAGAGCTCATTTGTTATCTTCGCCGCATTGTGACAGTATTGCTGCAGTGAGTTCTTGTGAACTCTGCAGAGCTCTTCGAGTTCGGCGACACCATCCAGGATAAAGACGAGCACCAACCATACTTCAATCTTCGGTGCGTTTTTTATACCCTTCAGCACGCCTTCGATTTCGGCCTATCATCTAACCAGATGCAGTATTGGTACACAATATGCACCGAGATAGTCGGCTTAGAAACATACAAGACATTTGCGTCTGATGCTTATAGAATCCCGAATACCTGAGTCAACGATATGGGATTGTCACAGCGAAATCTGTTGGATGCTAATGATCAACGTATTATACGGTACGAGTTGCCTACTGACGCCTTAAACCTTCGTAGACCACCTTTTTGCAATGTATATTGTCACCCACCGACGAGGTCACATGAAATCACTTCAGGATCTTGGCGCTTCCGGCACCACCCGTGGTCACTGCGCTGGACATTGCACCTCCCGACGTTCAGTGACCTGATTTAACTCCAGTGATGGATAATGCCAATACCAAACGCGTTGTGATCAAAGGAGTTAACACACCTTCTATAACGCCGCTTGCGAGCTGAACTTCGAATCGACCGCACTCATAAATTTCGGGGACTGGCGGAGGTGATAGCGTCTGACGAATTCCCTAGGATCTTCCAATTAATCTTCACCACTATGCACAGGAAATCATTAGATTATGAGGTCCCCATCCGCAACATCGGTGAATTAATTCACAGGGAAGAACGCGAGTCGTTTTGCCGTGTACATCATAGAGCAGTTCAATTGACTTCTTACTTCCCGTTCTCCTAGGGTTTGACTGACTTAAAATACATCGACGCCTCTGTTTCAATGCATACAGTCTCCTGTAAACGTGGATCCAGTATTTTGCTCATGAAATTATCTTACCTCTACTTCCAATTTGTCCGATCAGTCATTCAAGATGTACTCACAAACCTTGAATGGCTCAGCCTACGTCTGTATTTCTGATTTCAACCCCGTTGCTGTCATTAGGTAGCCACGGAAACAAGACATCTCTCGCGTCAGTTCTCCCGCTCTTTCCTTTCGCTTTGCATTTTCTTAGATGAGTTTCGGCTAATTGCATTGGTCAGACGGTTCTCCTCACCTTGCTGATATTTGCAGGGATATGGATGGCCAACAGGTCGTAGAACCTAGCGATGCATCTGAGCCATGACATTTGTCGTATCGCATTTTACTCCCCCGTGGTCCTTCTAGCTAATCTGTATGGGTGTGTATGTGCACATTGGGCTCTGAATCACATGGACTTCTCATTCGTCGCATGGCTTTAAACTTCATTTGGCTGACCTTTCGCTTTCAAGTCCTTTTGTAAAACTATTTGTTGTTACTAGATGCAAACTCTGGCCTCTAGTGCAAGCAAACTAGTTCTCTGGTGTCCTCAGTGAAGGAGATAAACTAAGTCCTTGACCAGTTGCGGTTGCGTGACGAACGGTGTCGTTACGCGTTGGTATACGATTGTCATTAGATTTCCCTCAGTACTTACTTATGCAATCTTTGCCTGATTCTTTCTTGGTAGGACACTGACAGCGGACAGATTATCCCCAGGATCGATGTACATTTAATCATTCTCATTTTGAAGCCAACTTTTGTTTCACAGCCATCATAAGGCTGCCTTTCTGGTGTATTGACGTTATGCTTTAGAGTTGCTTAGTGCGGTTCACATCTTTGCGTAATCCATGCTCATTGACTTCTTGAGACTGCGTCCAGTGCTCTTCATTCGAAATTCGAAATCGCATTTTTAGGGATCTTTCTGGATTCATAAAAGTACCAGAATCGCCTCCTGACCAATACATACGACGGTACTACTGTGTACGCTTCCAATCCTTCTGTCTCATAACTGACTGAGGAAATTTGTTGCCGAAGTGGTTACCGAGACTCTTGGAATCAGATGCACACTCACCACCGTCTACATTTGCTCCGTTATCCATACGGTTGTCCGCTTCTCGTAGGGTTTTTCATTATTTACAATGCGAGAAATTTATTCTATTCGGGTTTTTGGATCACGATCTGCTCTTATTCTTAACATTGGATAACTGAATTCTAGATATCATTTTTCATTTTCCATTGTATGTGGGGCGCGTGTACTGCTGCGCTTGTGTGTTACTCACTCGAATAACAGGTCTCCTGCAGCCCCACTTGGTCTAGAAACATGGCACAAAGCCAGTTAACGGTAAACTTTGCTTTTATCTCAGTAAACACGGCACTAAATGTCTAGGTTGTTTTGCAAAAACATCCTTTTTAATTCTTTATTACTCTAACTCCTTAAGGAATATTAATTTAGAAGCGTCCTACTCGTTGCCGCGTGATAGTGTTAAGCCGCATTCCGCGTGTCCTAATTTACCCAAGCCGTCTATTAGTACGTACTTTTGTATCGACTTAACCCCGGAAACGCTCATCGGCTCATTTTCGTCCTCCATACTTCTCCCATTGTTCACATCAGCCAACTGGAGGGGCCCGCACTCAGCGACATGGTTCTCGGACTCTGCCAGCTTTCTGCTGAAGCTGCAGAATTTGCCAGTGCTAATAAGGTGAGTTTTCTGTGTTCTATGTGCCTGTACATCCACAAATACTACGGAAGCATCAGCGGTACTGAATACTGAAAATATAGAGCTAGTAGACATAAGTCTCTGTTGCTCCATCTTAGTTATTTTTTGTACACGTGCGCGGATTCGCCTCACTGGTTTCTGCTCGTTTGTTGCTTATTACAGCTGCCCCATATGTTATTCGGGGGCGATACGCTCTCTGTATCTGAACTCAGTAAAGTTTGCGTCTAGGAATTTCTTGAATTTCGATACCGATTCCGCCTCGACTACTTTCTGGGGCAAACCGTTCCAGTATTTAACCACAACACTCGAAGCATAAAGAATCCGGTACCACTAGTTTTATCGGTACTCGCGAGTGCTGCGTGCTGTGCGCATGTGAAGAAGCCACTTCAACATGGTGAAGTGACCGAAGTGCAATATCTTATGCATCGTAATGAGGTCAACTCTAATGCGACAGTATGACATTGGTGTACAACCGCAGTCGTCTGCATCGATCTTCCTACGACACTCCGTAAAGTGGGGATGAGCCTGGTAGCCACATGCTGAACACATTCCAGTGTTTTCACCCCGCCACGGATGATCGGACGATAGGCAGGTGATCTGTACTCGTTCCTCAGTCTTATGATGGAAGAGAAGAGGCGCTTGGCAATCCCTTTAGACCAAATGCAGTTGCGTTTGAGCGCCCAAAGCATGCGCAGTCCGTTTCCATATAACTTGTTCGTGTTGTCTACGGACTTCAAGTCTCAACGTGAGAGTACGCCGAGTTTCTTCACGGACGTTATGTGATGCAGCGGTTGGCCGGCCAATGTGTACGTACTCAAATCAACACCCTTCCCCAGGCTCATATCTAACGGGTTGTGTGGCAGATTGACATCTACAGATCGTCTGGACAGGCGGTCGAGGTCATACTGAAGTACGTCGCAGTCTTCGGGAGCATTAATTATTCTCCAAATCTTCAGATTGTCTGAAAACATAGCACAAGGCGACCGATGTGGGTCAAGTCCCAGTACTGTATGTTGAGTTACTCTACTGGTGGAGGATACCAGTCCGTTAGATTGTCATCCACCTGTACCCTCCATTTCCATCTAATAAGGAAGTAACTGATCCACTTGTGCAGCGACCCACAAACACCGCTCATCATCAACTTCTTGATGAGGTTCACTTTAATGATGGTTCACTTTGTCGAACGCTTTACTGAAATTAATGTAGATCACATCCATTGACTTTCCCTGGTTCAGTGTATGTAGGCATTCATGCCGCTTCAATAGCAGGTTAGTGATACTGGAGCGGCCCTTCATGAAGCAGTGCTGTGTAGTGATTAGGATCATTTTCGACTTCAACAACTGCAGTAGACGCCTTTTAACGATCTTCTCGAGTACTGCACAGAGACTGCAGAAACTCGACGTCAGGGTTCCAGCGTGCTTGTGCCTTTGCATCAGTTGACTCACGCGAGTGAAATATGATGAGGTTGCAACGTCGCTGATCGTTAGTAGTTGTGCTCTCTTTCTTCTTGCCTTGCATTTTCCACTTGCTTTCATCTCTTACGCTATCGCACACACGGACCTTAGTGTCGTTAGGACGAAACACAGACATAGACACACTAACTGAGGTTCCAGAAACTGATGGACATCATTCCGGAGAGCTAGCAGTCGGCGAGCAGGTAGGCTTATTCGCACATAGGCGTGGCTCAGTTTGCGATGAATGGGATAAACTCACGAAGTTCCTCGCTATGGAACGTTTTGCCCTCCTTGCTGGCTCTCGAGGTTTCTCGACTGCTCGTGATTGCACTTTAGTCTAAATGACGGTCATTTCTTCCTATTGGGACTCGTCAGTAGCACGCACCCGCCGAATCCTATTGGATTCGAACACTTGACCTTATTCGTGCGAGTCGGCGACTGATGTCTTCGAGCTATGGGTACGCAGTACCGACGCTCCGTTGCTGCGCAACCACCACCAGTTACACGTGGGCTTAGGATACTCTGAGGGTGGCCCTGTCCCGTACACAGATTCAAACTTGCTATTTCCGGATTACAAGGCAAGTTTGTGATCCTATCGGCAGAGGCTCACACATTTACTGTCAGTTTTTGTTACACACAATTCGATTTCAAAGACAAACTTCCGCTGTGTTACACATTTTGCAGGGTCCTGACAAGTCTTGCAGCATATCCTGTTATTTATGTCGCAGCTTACTGACGTAATCTTGATTGCCGTAATGACAGCATTCGTAGCCTGAGCTATGCGTTAATTGATTTATGTCGCTTCGCTACTTTCTTAGTGATCTTCACACTCATTGTCTCTGAGTACTGATTTTTCCTTATCGTATTCAGTACGACCATGCGCAAAGTGATTTCTAGGCTCATCTTAAGCCTATGATTCTCCTGATTAAGCAAATTTACCCATAGATTTCCACCATGGTTTCAAATCCACCGTTCCATTGCCGTCTGTGTTCATGCGGAAGCATAGATTCGCCAGTGTTTTGGCACCATATTCAACTTCATCTTCAGTGCCATATTCATATTCCAGTCTGAGTACAGACGAATCCTTGCCTAACTTGCTGTTCCGAGCTGTCACGAGTCGTCCCTTTTGATAGAATTTAACTGGTTCCCACTCGGAGGCTTTCTGTAACCTGATTTCTGACCACGTAATCGTCTATTACCTGGCCTCTTCTCCTTACTTTGTCTCGGCCGATGGGACATGACTGATTTTCTGCATACTATGTTGCAAACAAAATATATTCCTTTGGATCTGCGGTTCGCCTAATGCTGTTCTAGACATGTCTCAACACGGTTCACTGCTCACGGTCGTCCGATTCGCCATTCCCATACTAATGATGCTTGCGCTTACTACCTGCTGTGTTGTCTGTTGGCTCAAGCCAACATCATCGACACACCAGCAGCGATGCTTTATGACAGATGTACAGTCGGCTGCTCATATATTGTCATGGTCATGATTTTGCCCTTCACTTCCCATCAGATCGGCTCCGTTTGATTGCCCTCGAGGCAGGTCAACTAATGGGCTATTGGTTTCACTCCTTTATGTTTCAACCTTTGGACCCTTTCCGCAAAATATGTTTCCTCGGTTTTGTTCCCCAAATGAATAAAACCCGCCTTTTATTTCCCTTAATGGCCACAGACCATTGATGGTATCCATAATCGATTCAATACTCTGCACCCAATTTCCACACGATCAACTTCATACTGAGTGATGTTTGTTGGGATAATCAATTGCAGGCCATTTTATGACATCGGCGACCCGTTCGTTCATGTGCGTCTATTTCTTTACGCCAACAAGGCTGCAAGATATAACCCTTCGCGGATGTTCACGTTATTTTCCACTGAATTCATACCTGACACACAACACTGATTTTCCTTTTCCTTGATTACCACTAGTATCCGTTTTTCACTTTGCGGTGCTTTTTGCATGATGCTTCCATCTCATCTGCCGGAAAACGAGGCTATCGAGCTCGGCCGATGCATTTGTCATTAGGATATTGTTCTACATTATCCACCGCAGATTTTTCGTGTTTCTAAACAGTATTTTATCATTTATTTCAGTGATCCAATTTTAGGCTAACAATGGTTTTATGCTCTGTCTGTTGTTTGACTTGGCTTCAAGACGTTGTCCGAATTCACTTTCAATTGAACAAGGCCACAAGATCCGAAATACTTTCGTAGTACTGTCAATAAAAATTTCAGGAAGAAGAATGATCACCGTGCTGATTTTAAAGCTACCCTCCAACGTTATTCTACTAAATAGGTGTGAATTTTGTTCATCCTGTCCACCAATGCTCATCGCGACAAGGCTGGATCTTAACGTGGTGCAATGGTTTGTGTACCTCAACGATTCACTGAGCTATGCTGTGTGATGCTTTTTGCACCTTCAGAGCCACTGATACCACATTGGTCTATGGTTAGGGACCAGAAAAATGCACTCTCCTGACCCTCCAGGTTAGTGTTCAGAATGAGAGTGGCTCTTTACGGACTATCTGTAGCCCAGTGCCACAACCCCGCTGCCTTGCTGTAAACTTTTTGAACTAAAGACTTGGGTTGAGAACCCTGGGCAACCTAAATTTGTCGTAGCCAAGCAACGCGACGCATTTCTCTTGAAACAACTCCTTGATGCTCTGTCCGTCTCAGCAAATGATAAACAACGCCCTATATGCTGCACCGATCAAGATGGGTATGGGTGAGGATACTACTACTCAGACCGTCTCGTCTTCTTACTCACTCTATCGCTTTTTCATCGTGTTCATTCCCTTGCAACCCCACTTTTATCCCTCCCCCAATTCTTTGCTATCTCCCATCTTCTTTTGCTAGGCCTTTGTCTTCCAGCTTTAACTCACCCGCAGTCGTTGGTCGTCGCTATCGTCCATTCGACAAATCCATATGTAAACGCGCCCACAATGTGTAACACTTATCGGCGAAATATCATTTCTGTCACCAGCTGAACGAGCTGCTTCATTCCTATTGTGCATGCTGGTGATCTAAAGGCCTTAGTTGGAAAACTATCCGCTGGGGTGTAGGCGCCCGTAATACTAACGGTGAGCGATTGCCTCATCTGCGTGAAGATGCTCGTCTCTTTCTTGCGAGCACCAACTTCCCACACAATACCGGCTGAAAACTGACATGACACCCACCAGCCTCGGAGCACCCACCGACGCAAATCGACTACATCATCGCGAGCAGATGGCATAGTAGCGGCTGTGTCCAAAAATGTCACTCGATTTGGAGCACCAGCATGGACTCCGACAATGCATGTGTATGCACCGACCTGCTAGGACGTTTCGTCAGATGTCCGCATTGGCGCTCTGAGTGCAAGGACACTAGCCAACTGGCGAAGACAGGTGTTCTGAATGCGTATCAAAGTACGCTAACATCCGGGCTGAGTAGACGCTCACCGAACACAGTTGAAGTTCACTGGTCGCATATTTGCCTTTTGTCTTTAACAGCAGGCGTTTCTTCATGTGGCAAATCGAATAGCCAACCTAGCCATTAGCTTTCTATGCAGTCTCTGTAACTGGATGCTCGCCGACATGTTCCAGCTAGAAGCGAACACACTGGGGCTGGCAAATATCTCAGGACCAAACTAAATGCTAGCTTGAAGAGAGACCGTGAATCGTGGTGGTCTCATCGTGCCTCGAAGATGGAGACAGCCACTGTCCTTGATAACGGGCGGAAGCTATTCCGTCTGATAAGGGAAAAGGGCAGTGGGGGACCTGCTGTTAGCGAGACCATACGCGACGAGAACGGACAGCCAATCCACAGGTTGTCGAAACTCTTGGCGCGTTAGACTGAACACTTAAATGCAGTTCAATCAACCTACATTATCACTTTCCTCTACGAGCGTTGATTGCCTTCTCTTTTTGCCCTGCAGACTGTGGAAACTGAATAAAGCCGCAGGAGCAGGTAGACTTCTTCCAACTGCTCTTGTAGAGGATTTGCACAGTTTACTAGTGAAGATGAGGGAGCAGGCGACTCATAACAGACTGAAGCCACTCCGTTTTCGTCACATTTTTCAAGGGAGACTCACGTTCGGATTGTGGTAATTATAGAGAAATCTGTCTGATCCACATTGCCTCTAGGTTATCTGTTTCTGTCGTTCTTCACAGACTAGCTGACGCTCGTAATACCCCTATTCATGTGGAGCAAGCAGGGTTTTGTCGCAATCGAGGCTGCATTGACCATCTTTTTACTCCACATCAGTTGTTCGTGCACTGACACATTTATTGGCGGCCCATCGTTGTCGTGTTCCTCGTCATCAAAGATGCCATATGTTCTGTGGATCGATATGGCTTTTGCGATTGTCTGCTCTAAAAAGGTGTCCGAGAAATACGTAAGTATTATAAGAACGCTGTATGCGCATAGTAAACGTTTATGGCAAACTGTCGAGGCCCTTCAGTATCCCTGCGGTGTAAAATAAGCTTGCCTGCTCCCACCCTTCCTTCTATCTATCTTGGTTTTTATCAAATACATAAACTTAATTTCTCGACACTGCGAGACACGCATGTAAAGGCATAGCCGGCCATGACCTATAGGATCATAACCGCGCCTTATAATCCGAAGTCGCGTGTCCGGGCCGAGCCGAGCCTACTTGGGACACCTGGCGAAGCTCATAGCCCACGTGCGACTGGTAGGGTTTGCGCGGCAGCGAAGCGTAGCTATTGTGTACCAGCGTATTGCTGCTACCCTTTTTAATGTCATGGTCGGATAAGCGCATACTTATATAGCTGGTTGATCACAGTTGGGTCAGCAAATTTGAACTTTAGCTCGGATAATGACCGGGAAGCTGTACTAAATTTTTGGCTGAAATGAAATGTTATTCGCTGGCCTTTAACCGCTTTCTCACCTACGTTATTCTAAAATTAGTGACTCACATCTTACATTTCTGAATCCCGTGAAATTTTAAGTCAAACATTTTGAAATTCAACGTAAAACTTGAAGAATGATTAGATTATCATGAATTGCAGTTACTTTTATAACATTTTTCATTAAATTGTGATGGTGTTGTGTAGATTTAACTTTCTACTTGCTCCCGCACGCAGTATTCACAGGAGAGGGCATGGTGGCTAGACAAGCGTTGTGTCATATGAAACCTGAACCGTGCTCGTACGCTTGCGGCTTGTTGTTATAAAACAATCAAACGGTTTGATTACATTCTGTACAATCTAGAACTTGTTGGTGCTTTTGTCACATTCGTGTTCAAGTGTACAGGCACATATTCCGTGTGGTAGCTTGTTCCTGACTCTGGCTTACCTGTTAAAGAAATCGTTCGCATACCTGCTGCTCCTGGATTTGAGTTCCGTTTATTTCGTGTGTTATATACGGCTGATTGCATCATTGTCGTGCTGAGGTCGGAAACATGTTGATTCCGTGCATGATGTTAAAAATATGACTAGGTTGTGCTTCATGCGCCGTATCCGGAGCAGATCAAGCTTGTGCGTATCACATTGTTCAGAATATTCCAGTTTTAATGAAGCACCTGTACTTGTTCTAGTGCAATGGGGTTGCACTTCTTTAATTTGCTATACACAATTGAGGACGTTTTTTCTAGCGCTTGATACAGGACTGGTATATAGTTAGAACGCTTTGCAGATCACTTTGTCTCGCAGTTGCAACCAAAGTTGGTATGTTTCATCTGCATCATTGCTGGGGTCTTTAATGGAAGTGATAGCTTTCATTAAAATGCTAGGCATAACCAACTTGTTTGAAATCCCCACCAGACTAGACGCACATTTATATCTAATTTTTTCTACTAACGTATTACCTTTTTCCACACCCTTAACACTTCGGACCACTACACGGTGAAGATCTTCGCAAAACTTATCGTATAGCCCACTACTCCGATGGTAAGATGGCCATTCAGAACTGTTAAGTGGTGAACTCTTTCGGCTCAAGTCAGTACTCTATTCAACCGACTTCCTAATATTCGCGAATAAGTACCTGTCAGTTCATTGCAAGCACCTCAGGCTAAAATTATTTCTGTTCCAATCTTTATTACCCCATTGCGACCAACTATCTTCGGACTGATAGATTTTCATCTTCACTACTCCGACAACCGCATTAAACGGGGTTATAAATATAAGCTGACGACCCATGTCAAATATCCCTCTGTGGCTATAAAGGTTGCGATAAGAAGGTTGAACAGCATGTACTCTGAAGCCGTTTTAGGATACCACAGTTGTCGAGTTCAGTAGGAGCTCTTGAGGCAACTATCCGGCGGACATTCTTGTAGACCACTCGGTACTGTCGGTGTGAACAAGCTCAACGCAGCGTTCAACTCCTCATCATCGAACACATTCCCCGCACCTTCGATATCATTGTTCTCCCACCACATTTGACCACACGTATGTTTACAGGGAACTCTCAAGACTGAAACCATAGAAGGCTTATGGCTCTGATTCCCTGTCCCCAATCTCTCTGAAAGACTGCGGATGCATTACAGTCACTTCTGACAAACAAACTTTTAACAACGAATACCTTCCCCGACATCTGAAAACTAGTCAGGGTCACAGAACAAATAACAGACCTATCGGCCAATAGCGTGCACCTCTGCACTGTTAAAGGTGTTTAAAAAACTAATAATTCAACGCATTTTCACAAGCGATCATACGGATGATATCAAACAGTTTGTCTACAAACCACAGCATTCTACACCAGATGTTGTTTCGCATCTTGTGTATTCCATTGCATGTGTTGGATATAAAATGCGCGATTATCCCAGTGCATTGAACATCCTTGACGGATTGTCACTACTGAATATTTTTGCTCGAAAATAGACTTCCTCCATATGTATATGCATAACTGTTTTACGTATCATATACAACTCACTCTACTATGGGGTAGAAGGTATTCCACCATCCCAGCCAATTGTAAACACGCCTCTGCATGTGCTCAGTTGTCGCAGCGCGCTTTCTTTGTCGGTTGGCGCGTTGCTTCAAAAGTTCGGTTTCTTTTTGAAGACAGTAGTACATTAGATCATGATGTTTCCTGGGATGCGTACCCCCAGTGATCGACTAATCTTCGAAAAGCTACTTGGGATTAGACGAACTCTTGACTTGGTCTGGCTCCCGGTTCCTTTTCCTTAACCTATCTACGTGTTGTGATGTCACATTCTCTTTTCTCCTCCTCGATAGACTGCGTCCTTTTTTAAATACCTCTACTTATTTGGTCGCTAATAACCAAAGCATCTCTACTTTTTATCTTGCAATTTATCCTTGTCGACACATTCACGAAATTTTACAAAAAGCCTCAAGGCTATGATTTTACTCCCTTAGGCTCAAAATTCTCTCCGTACCGTGTGCTCCAATTCTGGTTTGTAAACGCAAGTATTCTCTCCTACTGGTTATACTGTATTCATGTTTTTCCCCGGACTTCTTGCTAATTATTATGCTTTTCTGGTGCGCTCACCAAATTCACTTGTACATAATGACCATAGGCGATAGTCAAATTAAGAACTCAAGGTCACGAAGAGACCACTTTTCGACACTTCTCATCAGGCAAATACAATGATAAGAATACAAAAGTAACGCAACGCAGTACGCCAGTGGAGGCCGGACTGAAAATAGGTATGTCGGGTGCGTTTGAAGCATGCTGACACCTCCGATCAATAGTTTTGTTAATCAATTGGAGACACGCGTTACAGCGACCGATGGCGAGAATGAGGTCGCACTTGGCCGCCGCCAATGTCCGACGCTGTGGACTTGGCACTTGGTCATGACAATAAAAGTGCTTGCACAAGGGCCTTGCACAACCGGCTACGTCACTGATGGCATTAGCCTCAGCCGTCCTCAGGAGGAGTTTTCCAAGCATTTCGGGGTACCTGTTGGGCACATTGTAGATGGCTTTGAATGAGTCAGTCGGGTGTGGCAGCGTCGTTCAAATGCTCCCGACTGACCTATTCTCAGCCCGGACTTCACTGGCATACTGCTTTGTGTTACTTTTGTGTTCTTATAACTGTAGTTACTTGATGAGAAGCATCGAAAAAGTCTCTTTTTAACCTTGAGTTCCTAAAATTCATTTCCTTTTGCTCTGGATTAAGTATAGAATTCCTAGTCGGTTCTATATTTATTAAACATTTTGACGCAGAATTCTACTTTTCCTCCTAGATGTTACACGGCTTTTCGCGCGCCCTACACCGTTCTGAAGCGAGCATAATTGTATGGTTCCATGGCCAATACGACATTTGTATTTTCCACGAACAATCTGGTGTTCTACCTTCTCCTACCTCGTCGTATCACAAGCCCATCTTGCCCTGTTTGTCTCACTTGTTACTCGATCCGAAAGCAATGTTGCGCCAATTGTGAGATCGTTTGCTTGTGTGAAGATGCACTCTTTTTTGTGTTTTTTTTTGTCACTTTGTATTTTTTTCTCTGACGTTACGTTGTATATCCTCAACGTTAGTGTAAATTGCTGATAATATTCCCACACGAATGTGTAAAGCTTAGCTTGGTAATTATCACTTCAGGATCCAAGTCGATTTTCCCTCTCGAAACTTACGGAGGTTGGTCTAGTCAACACTCATCGACTCGACATGTGGTGGGACAATGTTTGCTGTCAACTGTTGTCGGTAAGTTCACCCTTCTGATTGTCCATTTATTCCTCTCCTCATAATAACTGTACCCTCTGAGATCAGCGTTTACGGTCCCCTGTTTTCACAACTTTGATCGGCACTGTTTTCTCACTTATCCATCCGCCTTCCCACAATTACATCTGATTCCCGATTTCCCTGTATAAACGGTTACCCTGGTGGTCTTCGTTTTTTCGACTTTCTAGCTTTCTCATCGCTTTTTCAAGCTCTTTTATCCATTATATTGGCAGTATTGATCCCCGCCCATCACCCATCCCACCCAACAGCTACACTAGCGTATCCTTTTAGCTCTACGAATCTAGCGTACACCTTCGCCGACGCTGCGTTGAGTAGGTTCGATTCGATGTTTGTCAATCAGCAGCCCATCGTTACTCCCTCACTGGTTTCTAGGGATCACACCTACTCTCCCAGATAGCTTGCTCTCTTACCGAGATTAGTCTCACTGTACTGGTCCACCTTAGTTTCACCACACTCGATATGCTGTATCCATAACGGTACATATGACACAGTTGTCCTTACTGCAAACGAGTTAAACTTGGATCAGTGTGTTGGTGAATGGCCCCAATTAAATTCCCAGGGATATCACTAGTCTCACTGGGTACTTTGGAAATGTTGACTTCCGCGCTCATGCAGCCTTCTACTGCTCTATCAATGATGTTTAAATTTCCATATTGCTGTCCTGTTACCAATACTCGAGCCAGAATGCTTATAATGCCACAGGTTAATCTGTGGCTTAAATTTAGAAAGTAGTTTCTTCGAGATTGCGGACCACCCTATCCCCTACATTGTAGTAACTCACAAGTCATCGGTGAGTGAGCCACGGTGTATCGCAATCAATTAGTTATGCCCATCGGATTCATACCCAGTGACCTAGTGTCTTTAAAAACTACATTGTAACAGTGAGATCACTGGTTCTATCTCTAATCGATCCAAATGAAACGTATGCTGTTAATGATTGCCAAAAGGGTAAGAAGACTTGACGGTGCTTTGTCTAACACTGCCTTATGAAAATTTTCTTTCTGTTTTGTGCCGTGAAACTCTCATTGCGTGCGACGTAACTTGCTTCACGAGCGCCATCATGCCGCACCTCTTGCTACCACCTATTCATAATTTCGGTATCCTCCATGCTTGTGTGCTATTTTGTGGTCTGTTCACACCAGTACTTTTTATATCGCACAAATGCATATATATATATATATATATATATATATATATATATATTTGCGTTTGACCACCGGTCCCTGCGAAGTTTATCACATATCCGGTGGGAACACAGCGCGAGCAATGAGCATGTTCACCGCTATTTCACTCACCACGCGCTGACTCCAGCAACGCACACTGGAATGCACAATTCTACTGTCCGTCTGGTCCTGCTGTACGGATGTGGGATCTGTGCCGTTCGCTCGAAAGATGTGAACCGACTATCAAATTCCGACAACCGCTACTTACAAATGATCGCTCTTGTAGTAACAGCATTATGTCAGCAATATGAAGTTATAGACTTAGCATTAAGCGCTGGCGTTCCCTCTCTTGAGAATTATTCTCCAGCTTGATTTGTCTTGCTCCGACCACGTTGTGTGCAAACTCCTCTATCGTCTTCTCTACTGCTCGTTATTTACGCTTGCTGGGTCACAGTGAACATCCTGTGACTTCGAGTAGGAGTATACAGTGTAATCACACACTTAACGTCAGCAAACCGAGAGTGCTTGAGAATTTTGGCTGTCCTGATTCGCTACAGAATTGTCACTGATGTCACTGTTGCTGTTCTAGCATCACCTTTTAATCACCTTCAATGCTGTACAAAGACAGCAACAAAACTCCGGCTAGAACTCTGCTCAGACATATATTAGGAGGTAGCTAATTCCGCTAGTTTATCCTTTTCTACCTAGCCGTATCCATTGCATGAGTATTTTTCCATTTCGACGCTGAGGGATCCTTTAGGGGACTCGGTGTCACTTCCCATTATCCTTTTGTTCACAAAACGCCCATAGTCGTAGCTGTATGCGCTTTCACTTGTGGGTCTCGTCTCACCTTTATCCACCGTTCTGTCACATACCACTTCCCGTATTACCTCCAGCCACCAGTATCCCTCCTATTCGTGAATTTCATCTGGAAGATTGCGATAAGAATTTCTGTTATCTCGCAGGGGTTATAATGGAGCTGTGAAAATCGTGTTAAGAAATATGGAACGAACAGAATCTCCTGATCTGAATGGTAATCTTAATTAGGTAGTGATAGTCTTCTTTACTACTTCGCCCATAAAATAAGTGAACTCGCAGCAAAACGTTGGATCGCTAATTTGTTGGCACCCAATAAGTTTCACGCCGTTTCTCTCATCGAGGCGGCGCTCACAGCAAAATGGTAGAGGACGCACAGCAAAATTGCTGAATATACCCTTTAATCACAGTCAGTGAGGAACAGGTTGTGTAGCTCCAATGGCGGATAGCCATGGTTCTGCGTCGCCTGTGTATCATGGAGTCTAGAGAGACGATAATTAAACACCTCGCACAGATGACACTTCGGAAGCCACTGTCGATGGAATCACTGATGAAGAAGGTAGGAGTGCTTTTACAACGTATGGAACGATAGGTGAGGGACCTTATTCTCACATATACTGCATCTCCTTTATTATGTGATTTATAAAACATGCGAATGCCTACATTAATTCAAACGGTAACGTGCTACTCACTGAAATACCAGCATGCAGCTACCGCGGTCATCAAGTAACAGTCATCAACAGTAACAATCATCAAGTAACAACTGAAGTTCATTTGATCTGATTACATTTTACTTAAAACAAGCCACTATCTAGTAGTGTTCTAAGGGCTTGTCACACAGCTTGGATCACATGCCCTTCCTTGCCCCTCGATCTCCCTCACAATCCGAAAGTCTAGAAAGTTTCTTCGACACTAATTTTATGTCATACAAAAATACAATGAAAATGCTCCCTATTGTTAATAATAGCCATGTGTATTCCCGATTGTTTCGCCAAGTGTATGGTTCGCACATGCAATAATGTGCTTCAGACTGTTTCCAGCGGGCCAATCCCTGTGCGATGTGTCTCACTGCTCTGTTACGTAGCTGATATGCAAAAATGATGCGGGCACCATCTTCGGATTCCCCTTACGAAATTCACCCTAAACATTTGCGACATGGTGCAATATAAGATAAAATTAATCGATGAATTCAATAGAACGAACAAATCGAGTATGTCACCCAATGGCATGTATACCTGCGTATGAAAGCACTCTCCGTTAGTTGCGACCAACGTGTTCACCACTCCCTGTGGGGCTTCTGTGCAAACGAAGCTCACTACCAGCACGACGAGCATCACCGTTGCTCTCCGGCTTTGTTGCGCTTTTTGTTCTTGTCTCCTTTTGCAAGTATCGATGAACTTCACCTTCGGGGCGCTTCTTTCATTGGTTAGTTTCATGCCTTCCATATTCTCCTCCGTTACACAATCGCTTTGGTTTTGTTTATTCCATTCCGGCACGCTCACTCTTGGGCCGCACGAATCACTTTGCAGTTTCATGTATCGCTGTCTAGCCACGCGCATCATGATCATTATGAATGTACTTAGAACGAGTATGAGCACAGACGCGAGCAGTTTTACAAAACAGCCATAGAGCACGAAGTGCACCTTTTCCCAGGCAGCCGCTTTGTGTCTTAGCTCGAACCAATACGAATGACTTCCGTTAGTTCCTGTCTCATCCTTCTTGACGTGCGACACTGCGTCAGTTTCTGAAAATGGGCGCACTTGATATATCATTTCAGTGGGAATCGCCAACAACACTCCGAATGCAAATGCCACAACAAATCCCACCTTCACGACTACTTTCTGTCTCTCCACACCAGCTTCTGGGGCCGGGTTGTGTTTGGAAGGGTACGTGACAACGTATAAGATCCAGCATCTGAATGCAGCGAGTTGCACAAGCAACACTGTTGAAATAGTATGCATCCCAATACTGATCACATTTTGAAGCAGAATCAAGTGGACAGTAGTCAAACTGTGCGGATAACTCGTGGGGTCCGGTGCAGTGGCTAAATCTAAGTAGATCGTGCGAATACCGTATGGGATCATGGTGAAACTGTCGGCCACAGCGACTCCCGTGAGCAGAGCATTCGTCGGGCTACGCATGTTCCTCTGCAACAGCACGAGCACATTGAGCATATTTGTCATCGTTCCAAAGGCACAAATAATCAAGGCAAAGTAAGCGTGCATCGGAGCGTAGACTGCCATTGCCTTTCCTAAATCCGGCCATTGCTCACAAGCAACTGAATGGTTTAAATTGTCCGGTATACTCATTGGATCGCTTCACACAACAAACTCTTCTCAATTTTGAAACTGTATCATCTGCTCCGACTTGCTCTGTACGGGCGCATTTTCCCTCCAATGCATCTAGCTTAAACTCGGTCATTCAGGCATGGGTTTTTGTCAGCCTACCACTCAGCTGTGATAGGGTGACTGTACAGGCGGATTTGATTGGCCCAATATTGCGCCCCTCTTCATACTTAAGTTTTCATGCCTATGCAATCCACACGAGTAGCTTTAGTTATTTTAGCTCATACCGATTGTCTCACATGAGTATTTCGATTCTCATATTGTCGGGTTTTTTCCATAAGCGCAAAATCTAGCGAATACTGAATACTGTATTTTGGAACAAGTAGAAAATAATTCTGTACAACTCCATCGGGTGAATGCATCCGCCATTTCGCTCCTGTTCATCATTCATTTCACACACTTCTATCAAATGCTACTCCCACTTGATCTGACGTGTACGGGCAACTTCACATGTTGATTCCTTATTACTTTTCATTAAGAGTGTTTTGTGTCTCAGACAAACGTCTTCGCCGCTGGTTGGTTAAGTAACACGTAATTTTTGGGGTCCTTCATTTCCTCCGCTCTTGAATGCATCCACCGTTGACGATCCATCATTACGGGATATTAATTGTGGTAGCAATGACGCTGTATTTCTCGA